CAGCTATAAACTGGTTTCTTCTGTACCAGAATACTGATGGTGTCTGGCCAACAGATCTGGTGTATCTTGCATAGACAACTATTTGTAAATACCTGTACCATCTTGATGATGGTTGTGTAGTTTCTATACAAGTTTCAGCCCCGTACAGCAGAATTGTCTTGACACTTGTATTGAAGATTCTGACTTTGATGTTGGTTGATAGTTGTTTTTAGTTCCATATGTTCTTCACCTGTAGGAGTGGTGCCGTTGTTTTACCAATCCGTGTCTTCACATCCGCATTAGACCCTCCTTGTTTATCAACGATGCTTCCCATATACGTATAGGTTTCCGCCTCTTCCAGAGCTTCTCCATCAAGCGTGAATTGGTTGATATTGACTATTTCACATTTGAAGACCTTGCTGGGTTTTTTCCCCTGTTAATGTTGAGACTTACTGGTGTGATCAGTCTTAGTCCATTGCAACCTTGGTGTTTAGGTCTTCCATCAGGATGGTCAAGTCCTTTCCTGGTCACATCTCCACGATCGATTCCATCCTCTCATAAAACCGACTTTAAGCGTCGTCGTTGCAATCATCGGTGGGTGGATGACATCTGATAACATTCATTGTGATTCCCTTCTTCTTTGTCTTGAATGATGGTCTGATTATTCTGGATCCATGAGATTTCCATTCAGCAAGTGCTTTTCGTGCTTCTTTGGACAGCATCAGAGCAAATCCCTTCGTGTGTGGAGCATTTGCGTTTTCGTGATCAGAGTACAGCAGCATCTCTCCCGAATCTAGTCTTTTCTGTCCAGCTTGGGTCCAATGTGTTTCACTTAATTCGAGCACCTCCAAGTTGTATCTCCTCATTTCTGTAGTTATTTGGCTAGTCCTGTGGTGTGTGCTACTTATATTGACATAAGTAGTATATGATATAAGTCGTAAACAGAAGGTCTGGAAGAAGAGAGACAAGAGGATCGAACAGTAAAAAATGGAAACAAAATGCAATTTGCATGAAAATTCGAGAACAATGAAGTCTGAGCCATTTTGAGACAATCGATGGACATTTTGCATATTAAGCATTTACTTTATGATTGTTAAATTTTATTATCAAGTCCTGTAATTTTGTGTTAAATACATTCTGTTGTCCCCATTCGTGTTCCGTTCACTTCAGTCCTCCCAGTATCTCACATTGTCTGGGAATTTTATGTACCTATATTAATTATTGCTGCGGTTGTTAGAAGGGGCATGGGTTTCGTGACTTTCGAAGAATCTTGGCACTCACTATGAGGTGTCATAATTCTTCTGAGAGAAGATCCTTCAAATTGGAGGGTAGACTTTAAATGGTGAAACTTGTTTATTCTGGTTAGCATTTTTAGCAAGGTTGTTTTCTACGTGATGAGGTTGCTAACCCCATGCACATCTCTTCTTTACTCGAACTTTGGACCGACAGTAACACAAACTGTGTTCACTAAATTGAATTTAGTGCTATTTATATGTGTGAAGTATTTCAACAGCTGAGTGTGGAAACAAAGAACATGAATAATGTTTATGATATGTTCCTCAAACAGCATATGACCTTAGGAATCGCAGTGTAGTTGTTAAAAATATGACAGTGGTAGTATTAAGAAACTTCAGAAATGTTTTTTCCGCCCTTTTTGTGCGAACTGACCACAACAATCCGAATAGAAGTAAAATGTAGTTAGTTACATCACGGCATTTGTTGATTAATAAATTTAAACATGATTCTATCTATACCGTAATACGACTCCAAGAACGGTAGTTTATTTATTTTCTCATTGTCTTTGGATTTATATATGATTTCTTGATTTGTCATCGCCATTCTCTATTTGACTATTCTCTAGTGATCAACACGTACATTGACGAGCTTAATGTACTCATATATACTTTTAACCTAATAATAATCAAAACGATTAATCTGACCTTTGCTCTAGACAGAGGCTTCATTTGTTCAGTGAACTTTAATAACAATAGCGTACATATGTCATTATGAAGTGATTTTATGTCAAATAACTCATTCTTGTACATAAGATAGACATTTGAACCTAGTTAGAAAAGTGTTTTTACGGGCTTGTATTGAATCCCTACTTACTTAGTGTTATGACTTTAAACTTGGGTCGATTTTTACCCCGTGCCAATTGTTGCGTCCTTGACTGAAAGATTAGAGCAACGTATTATAGATCGATTCGGTGACACGTAAACACGTACGAACTACCTAGAGTTCCGATCGGTCCCGCCTCCCTGTCTAGCCCAGCCAGTTGAGTCCAGAACACAAGTCACAACCTCTGAGATATGAATCATTGTATTTCAGACATACTCTATTTATATACTAACCAAACAGTCCACATCGTACCATAAAATACAAAACAACATTTGTACAATATTTAACGAATGAAATAAATAATGGCCAATAGGAAATGTCCATTTAACGTCCAAGGACATCATTAGACTTAACATGATAATGATTGACACATTATTCTGCATCCATAACACTTAGGATAATTTCGACTTTTTTTACCCTGGAAAAATTTGAACCAGTTTGCCGGGGGAAACGTTAGCATTAATTAAATTGTGGTCTCTAAGATAATCTAGATATAGTCTTTATATCTAATTGGAGTAAACAGTTCAAAAAGAAAAAGAATTTATCGAGTGGTGTAAAACGTCAAGACTCGGGAGAGAATACAAAGTAATTAGATGAATACTAGTGCCACGAATTCTGAACCATGTCCATTAACATCTTCAAAAACTAGTTGGAGTTATCGCCTACTGATACGGCTTATTTCAATTGTTAATGATTTCATAAACTAAAACCATGTCGTGACCTACGGACCACTAACTGTTTACTGACCTGCTTCTATCTCAGTAAGTATCAGATATCATGAAGTAGACAGTCGTTAGACTTGCGTAACACATATCTTAACCACTTCAACCGGTAAAGGTCCATGGCTTTATCAATGAGCATTCCATTTCTACCTAGTACCTTGTTCCTAACGCTTTTGATCTCGATATTAGCTAGACAAGGTCGAGTGATTGACCACACTTATCCTGTTTTGGATGGCGCCAGAGTATATAGTCTTAATAAGTGAGGCCTGTTACTCAGTTTAATTTAGAGTACACACACTGAAAGCTTCACAGTGTAGTTTAGAGGATAGTTTCGGAAGGTCTAAGATAAGATTTTATGGATTCGGATCAACTCAGTGGCAAATGTGGAAGATAAGAGGTTTAGTAGCAAATATGAAAAATACATTGAATAATCAATAAATTATGTTTCAGACTCATACTGTCTGATTGAATACAATCCCGTTAGCACTAACAAGTACTTGATGTACATAACATTAGTCACTGCTTAGTGGTCAATCAATAGCAAATAGAAGTTGTAGTTCCGCGTCCATACATATATATCCATAGGAAAGTAAAAATCCACTAAATAATCAGTGATTTGTTCTGAAATATGAAGTTTCACTAGTTTAGTTTTTAGTTTGGTTCGAAATTACCACCATCTTACGTTTTCCTGTTTTAGGAGATTCGCGAAAATCTGACAGCTGAAGAACTTCGTAGTAAACTTTTAAATTCATCAAATCAACGTCAGTCACAATCCGACGCAAGTACAAATAACTCCGGCGTAAATGGTGAAAATAGAAATGAATGGCATATCTCCAAATTATTTGTCCTGATCGTGTTTAGTATATTTGCTTTTCTTGTACAACTTGTCATGAGATTTTTAGAACCTATGTGATAAATTATCCATACTTAATCGGTTATTTCACGGCATCAACACATTATGTCGACATGGTAGTGATAACGTACAATGGTGTGTGGATATTGTGTCACTTGTCTACTCTATCGTTCTTTCAACTGTGTAAAATTCATGTATAACTATCCTCAGTGATTAACTTTTGATCTAAATTTTTAATTCTTATTGTAACTATTTTTATTTTTTTTCTTTATGAATCGGTCACAATGATGGTAAACACGAATGCTGCGCATGTATCATATGATATACTTGTAATATCTGTGATTTGTGAATGACTTTTTTGTGTAGTACTAATAAAAAAGCAAACACAAAAAATATGTATAGCCATAACAGTGTGGATTGTTTTAGCTTTCAGTTTGCTGCAGACTGATTACTACTGGTAAACGGTGTTTCTGATGTTGTATATGTACCAAGCCACCTTAAAATGAACACACTCTCAGTGTCTAGCTAGTCCATCCCCTTGTACTTTCTTCATGTTTGGATCTTCAAATTAGGCCATAGGAGGTTTTTCTGTTACAATGTTTTTGCGTAAAATTCTTGTTCGCACTAAACTATTATTAAACTCTGGAGTGCGGACCCTCCTCTACCGAAACACTCAAACGATATGTGCTGTAAGGAAGGTCTATGTTTATCACTCAGTTGAGGTCGTTTTGAAAGACATCCGTCCACCATGCTTAAAGTTTTTGGACCCTAGTAATAAACTATTACTCAGAGATAATTCCAGCACACAGTAACCGTCTTGTTTGGTAGTTTGAACGACCGGCCTTCCAGTTGGGTTAGACCTGCATACTAGAGCTCCTACAACAGGCACCACTATTACCGAGTTTGATTGCCCGGTCTTTCGAACAAAACATACTACAAACGGCATCTAAGTCTTTCCTACGTTCTTATTGTGCTATTTAGCCGGAAAGCACAAATGTTTATCGACAGAAAACTCATTAAGGGGTGTTTGTTTTGACTGCAAACGGCATCTACGAGATTATGAGGTGTTTTTCCAGTTTTGTATATTAGCTGAATATAAGTGAATGACTCTATTTAAATGAGGATTTCTGACAATGGAAAGACTAGATTCAGGTCATGAAGCCTATAATACGATTGAACACAATAGGAGCTCCAACATATAGGTTAGAAGGGGGATTATGGAAAACTGAGACCAACGACACTAGTGAGACATAAGCTGTTGTGAACCAAACACGTATGTATTACGTCCTATAATTATAGTTAGCATATGATCCATCTCATTTGTTCCCGGACCTTTATTAATTACTGCCGCGCCCCCTCGCTATTTCCGAATTCCATCTCCAAATGACTGCACACCTATAATTATTATTGATAGTCTTTGTCACAATGATCCTTTTTGTCATCAATGTCATATTGTATCATACATCTATGTTGCACATACATGATTGTAGGCAGCAGAGAAATAACGAATCCATATTATTCTATTTCAATTGATGTTCTGTGTTTATTAATATTTTAACAAATACGTTGCAATTTGCGGAAGGTTTTTCTCTACGGGTTGAAGCAAAGTCAAGTTTTCAAAGTTGATAGACTGTACGATGTAAGCAGTTACGATATATTCCATTTGCAATGACTTGTTAAGAACTCGTATACAACAAATAGAATCGGTCAGAATTCCAAAAGTATAAAGCGAACCAGAAATATTACAAACGATTTAACCAACACATTTGGAGTTCCGATGTTCTGGCATTATGTGAAGATTGTCCTCGGATTTCATACTTGTGATGATATATTAAGCAATACTTTTTTCCCCGCATAAAAAATGAAGACAAATATAATTATACATGTGAATTATGTTTATATTACATATTGCTAGATTGAATTATAATGTTTATTTACAAATATCGCATCGAACTATCATCACGTGAATAACTTTTATAACCTTTTGTGAATGAACGAGGTTTAAATTTCGAATAAATGTCTTTATTTTTTGAACGAATATTGTATTTTTGTTCTCCCCCTTCTTGAGTTTCCATATTGGCATATTCCAACAATAATTTTGGGACTTTATCTAAATTACCAACAGATTCGAAAAGTTGGCAAATTCCACGTGATACTGTTCTGCTTGATTGTTGTTGTTGTAACAAGGTTTCATGAATAAGTGTTATAGCCTCACCAGATTTACCCATACGACCAGTTCGTCCTATTCGATGAACATAATCATCTAATTCATTTGGGAGACCAATATTAATAACTGCAAAAACATTGGGTATATCAATACCTCGAGCAGCAACCTAATAAATGACATATAAATGATATTTTTAGTAGCCCAATTACAAGTAAAATAGACGACTCATATCAACATTGCAACTTAGATTAGCAAGTATGTAATGAACCGTTACTTTTACTGTAGCAGAGCTAGTGATATTAGCATGGTGTTAAAAACACGCACATTGAAACGGAGGTTGAAACAAGTAACTGGATGCTCAACTGACAAGCTGTTTTAAAATTAAATTATATTTCTGAAAAGGTAATAATCAAGGGCTCTTTTTCCTAAAATGCTTTTTGATTATGAAATAAGGATGTGATGTACGCTTAAAAACCCATAGTTCACACAAAATGTTCCTAAGTGTTAGAACTGTAAAGCCAATAATGAGTGAACTAAAAACAAACTATGGTAGTAACACGGATGTGTTGTTCGAAAATCTTTGTGATATATAGCTTACATAAATAGACCAAGGTAACAGAAATTACAATGATAATTTTAATCTCAATAATAATAATCGAAAAACATCAAAATCCCCATCCGTATAACTTAGTTTGCTGATTGATAATAGATAGGAGTTAACAAGATTTATCTATCTAGTAAAATTCTGAAAGTCTGTCGTGATAAAAAAGTTTGTTTAGACCCAAATACATTAAGAATGTAACTATAATACACTATGGTTTGTTGGTCAGACTGGACGCTGACATAAATTATCGGTGTGTTGTTTCTGTTTGGCGAAAAGTACTTTAACTCAATTGAGCTTGATGATTATGTATTACATAGAAAAATCTGGTGATAATGTCGAAATAAATTATAATACTACGGAAACAAAACAAACAGTGAAGTGATGCCTATAAATAGTGGCTTTATAGCTAAAACATACAACGAAAAATTAAAATCCCACTCTGCAAATCAAGCTAACATTCAACAGTAACAACAATCATTAATTGCATGCACTTCAGGGGAATTATCTTTATTTTTAAATGCAGGTGGCAAAAAGACGTCTTACCGATGAAGCGACAAGAACATTCGCTGTTCCTTTACGGAATAGATCTAAGGATTTTGCACGAGAAGACTGAGTTTTATCACCATGAATAGAGGTCGATTTTATGCCGTTAGAATAAAGATAATTATCAATTTGATCAACTTCCCTTTTGGTATTACAGAATACAAGAACTCGACAAACACTTTCCAAACCTAGAAACAAGATAAAAGTGATACGATAATGTGAAAATTAACGGTTTAATAAATTAGTGATATCTAAATTAAGAAATTACGAATGATTTTTTCTGTTGCTAAACATCATAGGCCGTGACTGACTTGTATGATTTTAAAATGAGTAAATTTATTTCAAAAAGTAATCCAATTGAAATACTTAAAATATTTGTTTACTGTAATAGTGGAAAGATTGGAAAAACGAATGTGTTTGAAAAAAAACATAATCATCATGAAGTACAAACAATTATCAAAAAGAATAATGCATATGACTAGGCAGTTCCTTTCATTAATACCTATAATAGTCATTTTATTGAATACTAATGTTTAGTACGGTACAGAATTATCAGCATATTTGCATATCTTGTTAATAACTTGCCCGCTTTTTCAAATATGTTTTGAAATGACTAAACGAAGTATAAGCACTTATTTAATACTATTGAATTGAAACTATTCACCCTATACGATACATGATTCATAGGATGTGTAGTCTCGAATTTTGTATAAATGCTACGGTGACTTTATATAATAAATTATTGGAACGATTGATTCAACATACGTTTCAATAAAAATCAAAAAAACGTTTGCACTATCCAATTACAACCAAATAAGCGTAAACGAGAGAAGAATTTTACCTGGGCTATTATGATAGGTGGGTCAGGCTAATATGTGATTCAGTCGTGTATTATATATGTGAAAGTTTACTTTATTCCCTATATCAAAGAGACATTTAGATTTATATTACTCAAGATAAGCATACACATTTTTAAGTCTAGAACGTTTAAGTTCTAAAAAGAACGTGCCAACATGTTTCAAATTTCTGAGTACCTTTATTATGAATTTCGAAAAGGCTTGGGAAAATACTACTTAGATCTGTTCTTAAAAAATCCACTCCTATAGATAATAAACGTACTAAACAAAAGTGTTAAAAACATTAGTGATTTACTTTTAGATTTCATTTCTAGAATTAACTGTAAAAGATGATTCGGAACAGCGGATTCAGGATTACCGACAACCACTTGGAACTGCTGATTAATTTCTTTGGGAATTATTCGTGTAAGTCGTTCAAATTCATCTTCATTTTTATTACGAACTGCTTTTCCCCACGTAGGGACTATAGTGCCAGTATTAGATTCAGCACTGCTGAGTGTAAGAGAAATACAGTTTGGACCGCGTAGAAAATCTTTGGCTAAAAGAGCAACCTCACGTGGATATGTCGCACTGAATAATGCAGTTTGACGACCATTCCCTGTTGGTGGAGGCATTTGAAATTTTGGTGACTCTAAAATTTGACGTATTTGCTCTTCAAAACCCATATCTAGCATTCGGTCTGCCTCATCAAGTATTAAAGATCTGAAAAAAGGCAAGTAATTGCAAACGCAATCTCGATAACAAAGTTAAGAAATTTGCAACAAAAGTATGGCAACAAACACAGATGACGGTTTAGCTTAATAGTACATAAACAAGAAAAAGAACGACGAGATCGTTTCATAAATATCTTTCATTCTAAATATACCAATATCTACAAAAAATATGAAAAAGAGCAATGAGAGGACTGGTGGATTGAACGATTTCAAACCAACGGAAAACAAAACCGCTTTTTTGCAAATAAATTATTAGACTATAAATAATCTTTAGTTAAATAGTTATTATAAGGTGAAGAAAACATGAGTGAATGAGCGTTGACGACAATGGGACAGAAACAAAACATGAGGCTATTTACTTCAAAATATATAACTCAGTAGACAGAGCTTTTAAATAAGTCATATATTTATTTCTTTCTTATTTAATGTCATAATGGGTGTATTCCGTTTATACATATATCATACCTTTTCCACTTAGGTAGCTTACAAATCAACCTCTAAGAAAGGAAATCTAGATAAACTGAGAAATTAATGTAACATGGAGAATAATATTATCATGTTATCTCATTAACTTTTCAAATTATTGAAAGAAGTAACGAAACTACATGTCGTAAGTACCAATAATTATTATGCTAATAACCTGTTAGGTCCCGATAAACATAATGAATGGTAACCTTGGGATCCTTTTATGGACCAATACTAAACGTATATTTTTTATCGTATAATTGTTAAATAACTAAACTATTTATATTCCTCTTATCATAAAATTTACTTTGACCTATGAACCATTATTATACGTTTTACCATTCTTGAATTATGCCCTTTCTATTAGTCACTGCCTCCCACATCCACTGCCACATTTGGCCATATTTTGCACAAATGTTATTTTCTATTTTACGCTACGTTGTGGTCTGCTTGATTGGTATATAAACTCAGTATGTTTGAAATAGAATTATTCATATTGCAGAGGCTGAAACTTGTGTTCTGGACTTAACTGGCTGGGCTAGGCGGAAAGCAGGGCCAATCAGGACTCTAGGCTGCTTTCACGTGTTTTACGCGTCCTTGATCCGATCGATAATTCGCTGCTGCTGATTGACGGCTTTGGTCTATAACATAACCATTGTGTCCGATTCCAGTGATTTACAATCACTAGTTCCAGCTTCAATGATCATCTAGTCAAGTCTAATTTCCGAGAATACAAGAACTTTTACACGATTCTAATTGTTAGGTTTTGTTTACATAAGACTATCTCCATTCATTTAAAGAAAATAACATTAAAAGCAGGAATTTGCAACGTATACGATGAATATTAGGGGAATGGATAGTATTTGATTTACGAAGCACCAAACTGAAGTATGAAGGATGGCCAAAACAGGTCATTAGGATAATAAATAGCAACTTGTAAAATGTTTGGTTTTTTTCGGTAAATGATATATAAAGGATAACAATAAATAGAAATACAGTTCATCTTCCAAGTACAATTTTATGTACATCACTTTGAACCATAATGTTCGAGTTGAAAACTAGTGATACTATCCAATTTAAACGTTTGATCAAATGACCGAAAACAGAGTACTTTAATTACTAAACTACCACTGCAAACAACACTGTATTATATGGAACGTGAATAAACGTGTCCAGTTTCATTACTGAATGAGGTAAAGGGAAGTCAAAAAATGCTGTACATGACCATAATTGTTTTATGAAACCTAGTGAAAACTGCTATGAAATCGAACATTTATTATGCCGTATATGAGATATTTGGCGATGTATTTCTTGTTTAAACCTTTTTTTAAAGACTTAATCAACTAAGTCAGGGATGATCAACATCGAATATTCGACGTAGTAAGGAGTTGTGTAAATTTTATTTATTAAACGCGACTAATTGATTATATATGGTAAACTACATTCAATGAACTGTGAAACACAATAATTAGTCATCTAAAAGAGCAGCATAAAATTTGATATACGAAATATAAAAGTTAACAATTCAACAACATTTGTTTGCATGGTTTCACAAGCATCCGCATTTAAAAGCAGTGATATTTTGTTGTCTTTACAATAAATCTAACTAGCCACAAACAGGTTCTGAGTAGCAAAGAGTTTATGATGAAAACCTGCGATGCATCTTTAACATTATAAACTATTAATAGAAGAAATAATATAATTAAAGTAGCAGTAACACGATAGAATTACCTGCAGAATTTTAAGGATATACAGTCACGGTTCAAGAAATCCAAAAGTCTTCCAGGAGTTGCAACTACAAAATGGCATCCCTTATTCAATTCAAACATCTGTCGTTCTGGTCGTTCACCACCAAATACACCTACTGATCGAACGAAGGTTTGGTTACATAACTATATAATTGAAAATTATTCTTATAAATAACCGAAAAATAATTACTTTACGTAGTTCTAACTGTATTTGTTGGACTAACTCACGAGTTGGTACCAAAATTACAGATGAGGGATACTGGCGTCGTGTACGAGAGATGAGCTACATAAGTGAATAAAAAATATAAATGCGTTCAGAAATCTTTTTACTGCTGTAGTGAAAGGAAACTATAATTTCATGTACAATAGAGTGCAACGCTTCCCAAATATCTAAAATAGGTGCTTATAGTCAGTTGAACAAGTGACTGGGGTTTTAATTTTTTTTCTGAAAAACGAACTTTAAAGAGAATTCTTGTGGGACAGAAAAATTAATTAACTTTGAGCCAGTTAAATCTATGTGCGAAACCCCGCCCAATCTCATTATGACTAGATTTTACACAACAAGAAGTGTGGCTTAAACTCTAGTAAACGAATGAGCTTGGTAAGTAATATGCACGAAATATGAAACTCGACAATGGATTCTTACAGAAACTAGTAAAAATAGTGGACATTTGTATGCAAGCATCATAATTAGAGACGAAGTAAAACCTTTATTGCAGTGATAAAAAACCTTGTAGAAAAAGAGCATTAACGCTGATAAACGGAAATATATGGAAGACCTAGCAACGTCAGCAGAAAAAGCTGTAAACGAAAAATTATCAGATAACTATACGATATAACCAAGAAACTAGGAAGCATAGCAAACCAGAGCGACCAATCAAGAATAAAGATAATTCAATCATTCAAATTGAAGAGCAACGGAGCTATGGGGCTCATCACTAGACATCAACTTCCTTGACCATGAGAACGCATTTGACAGCGTGGATAGGAGAACCTTATGCAACCTTCTCCAACAGCATGATATACTTGAGATCGTCAATATCATACGGTATTCTTGTGACGCACTACACAAAAAAAGTCATGCATGGAGGGCAGCTCACAGATGCATACTGGGTGGAAGTCAGCGCTAGACAAGGCTGATTGTTCTTACCTTTTCCCTTCTTTCATTTGTATTGATCACTGATTAACATCACGAAGCAACTTGTGATGTTAATGTTAATAACGAAAAATAATGCTGTTCTAAAAACTTATGATGTCCGGTTTTTACCATTTCTTGATAAATAGAATATTTTAATGCTAAAGCGATAATTTAGTCGCATACTACATTGTTAACAGACGTTTTTAATCAGAGGAAACTGAGAACATTTCTTGTTATACTGTTTTTTAATTAAAGTATGCATTCTTTAACACTTCATGACGTACTTGAAACAAAGGTTATAAAAAGATGAGAATTCATGTCTCAGTACGTGTTACAGTTTCTTTTATTACGACCCAGCTACTCTTATTGCTTAGTATTCTTGGACACTACATCGCTTGGCAAGTCCCCAAACCAGAACAAGGTTGAACAGGAATGTAATTATATTCCAGATAAAATAGTTGGATGGATTTACAATAAGAAAAACAGTATATTAGTAATTTTTACATAAGATTCTAGTCTTCTCTAAGTTTCCGCTGGTGCTAATTGGCCAAGAAATAGCCCCATAATAACTCTGCACGAAATATACTTTAATCAAATCTATATCCTGCTAACAACACGGGAACTTGACAAACAGATATCAACATAGAGCCTGAGACAAGTCTACAGTGACCCAAGTTGAGACACTACGGTTACACGAGATGAAAATAAAAAAAAGATAGAAATGGTGCAGTATCAATAACAAACAGAAATACAAAACCCTGGGAATATCCTTTGTAAAGGCTGAGTGGAAAGGCATGTTTAGTGGCCTTATATCTGACTCCAGTTAGATCGTTTGCCGATTGCTATCGAAATGTATGTGCCACCAATCCTCGTATGTAATTATCGACTTAAATCGCGTCAGTGAATAACGGAATTAAATGAGTCAAATACGAGAATGGATTTCGAGTACGTATACTTCACACAATAGTTGATCTAGACTGACAAAAAGAGAAACGAATCGGAGATGGCATGTGAGCCAACTCGATTTAACCAAGCGTGACTCAATATTTATAGTCAGACAAAACTAACTTACAGACAGGTGATGAGTAGGGTAAGCAATACACGCACAGACGATCATATATTAACACTGAGTTAATAAGCCGATAATTAACAAGGTCAAAATGTGACGCAAGAAGAATGAATAAACTGGCTTATCTGGAAGCTAGAATAATCTGTGTGGGCTTGAAATGGTACTAGACACTATATATGCATGAAGAGATACTGGAATTTAAAGCCGAGATAAAGATGAAGAGTGAATACATCTACATCATTGTGAACGATTCCGAGTTACGTCACTCACTCTTCAAACAATGATTGTAATTATCATGTGGACTCCAATCAGACAGTCTGGATTTATCGGCATAACTCAGGTCAATAGTCAATGAAGTCATGGACTAACCGATGCCACGTTTTCATTTGGCCGCCCCTAGCTTTCTTACAGCCTACTTCTGTACTAACAAGTATCACTCAAAGTAGGTGATGGTTAGGTATACTAACACATGTCCTAACCACATCAGTTGACGAAGACCTAATAACTCATCAACTAATTTGCTACATCTGGCAGGTACCCTATGTCTAACCACTACATTGCTCAATCGGTCTAACCACAATGCGCGAACAATGCTTCGAAGACGCTTATGATAAGAAAACTTCAGTCTACGAATGTTTTCTACTTTCCTTGACCGCGTTTAACAACCGAAAAGTAAAACAGAGCAAACTGCTACATGGCATACTCGTGTTTTACTCGACAGATAAATATCTCGCCTACATCACAAGTGACGTTACACAAGCTACGCGTTCGATAAGTGTCACAGAAGTATAAATATATTATTGATGGTAAACTTGAATGACTACTTTAGTTTACTTGTTATTTTAAGATTTTTCTCCACTAGTAAAGCGTACCTAATGCAGCAATGTCGATAAATATATATCCGGTCGGTGAATAATTCGGCAAACCGTCCAACTATGTCCGAATACAATAAGACTAAATTTGTCTAAGTATTCCTATCCAGTTAAACACAAAATTGACAGGTGTTGATTGAAGACAAATTCTGGGTACTATTCCACTCCCCTCAAATACCAGCTTTTATCTGAACGATAGGCAAAATGACAGTTCTCATATAATGCATAAAAATGGCTCTCCGATCTTGCGACATTATCATTTTAACAATCATTTATAAACAATGTTTCTTAAGTGATTACTGTGACTGTAATAAAATTAACTAGAAATACGATATTTTATGAGCTTGTGCCCTGAAATATACTCTATTTTATTCTTCAGTACTTTGTATCGTAGATGTTACATGAAAACACGAAAATGGATCACTTGTAGACGATTGTACACTTGAACATATTTCACAAAACTCAGTAGTGTACTCTGAAAATAGTTGTCAGAAATAGTTTTAAACTGGTTTCAGAAAAGTTCATTTTTGATTCACAACACTGTGATTTCACGATAGTTGTATACATAAAACAGCTTAGTAAATTACTAATTGTTTACAACAAAATTTTAATTACGTTCAGTAGAATATGATAATGTAGGAATTAACATTCTGCTTACCAAAGATTGCATCGCTTCAAATGGATAAACTCTCAACAAACGATTGAAAATTGGAATAAGATAAGCTAGTGTTTTACCCGAACCAGTTTGTGCAGCTGCCATTAAATCAAATTTACCAGTGACACGTTCATAAGGAGGATTATCATCTGTGCTTTGATTGGACTCATCTATTTTAACATCAACCTCCTCATATTCATCAACTGACATAATCCCAATGGCATGTTTTTGAACGGGTGTCAGCTCAAACAAACCCATAGCTTGAAGATTATTTAATAGTTTTTGATCGACTTTCGGAATTTCATTGATCTGAAAACAATAGGATAAAATTAGAACTACGTTAGGACAAGAAAGAAGTCTCTTAATTTATTTAACGAGGTACAAAAACGTCGAACTTTAAGATACCATTTTAAAGGTCAGGAAATGTAATATACCAAGTGATTTTTCATGCTACTTACCTGATTTTAAGAGTGGTACATACTGGGTGCATACGAATAGTAGTAACAGCACTACGACATTATCATTTCTCATAAAAGTATTACCACGTGCTTTAATGACATACAACTAGTAGAACTATACATGATAATTAAGGAAAACCAAGGTCTCAGACCTGCAAATGGATGTATCAACTATATTGGCCTTCTGGCAGATTCCCGGACACAGGTACATGTGCCTTCACTAAACTGTAATCATATTCCACGACCTGAAAGTGACATAAAACTTCAAACCGTCGCTCATATGTGATGGAGCAACAAAGTGAACAACGCTGAGGCTTGGCGTATATAAAGGAAAATGGTTGGTGAGACTAAATATTTATCATTCTGGGGAGGTAGAACATATTTTACGCGTTATTCACCACCTCTCTCAATACCGAATGCTGCCTAACATAGGTTGGAATGAGGCCAGGGTAATCAAAGGAAGAAATATCAGTTTGTAAAATTAGTGACTATTGGTCAGGATAGTAATCGGTAGCTGCAGGATAAATGGATGCTGTTCATACGATGACAGTGGCTGATTGTTACGTGATGACTCAGAATCATTTACACTGACGCATTATTCACTTCATTTTGATTCAATTTCTAAATTTATTTCATGCTTTTTATTGCGTGTTTTTTTGAACTATATCTCCTATGTTGAGTGTTTTTCAGTCAGTCAGTCAGTCAGTCAGTCAGTAACAACGTAGAACTTCGTACGTACGTACATCAGTTCGAGTTGTCACACCACATTAGCACAGAGATGCAGTTGTCGATTCAAGTCCCGTAGTGGTAGAGGTAGCAAGAGTATAAGCAGTAATCGGGAAGATTAGGGTTTGGAGATGTTATTTAAAGAGTATAATCCAGTGAAAGAAATTTGGAAAGTGGAAAAAAGGGATATGAAGAATTCAGAAGATTAGAATTTGGGAGAACACAAAGAGTGGATGCACCTGCGCCATTGCAAACGACTTTGAGCCATGTCATTCAGGGTCTCTAACCATCGGTTGCTATCATCTTGCGGTCCGCAACCAGGTAGTCTACACTTACCAACATGACTCAGTCCACTTGTCAGTGACTTCATGGACTTGTGCCATGTTTTGGTCTGGCCGCCCCAAGCTTTCTTCCAACCTACTCCTATACCACTGAACATAGCACGTCGAGGTAGTCGGTCATTGGGCATACGTAACACGTGTCCCAGCCATCTCAACTGATGAATTTTCACTACGTCATCAACTGATTTGCCATTTTTACCTAGTACCCGTTTCCTAACAACTGCATTACTATTACTATTACTGGTACTATTATTAACTCAACCTCGCTGGTATTGATCCTGACAATCAGGATTTAAAACTATCTGAGCCTTAACTCAATATTGATTTTGGCAGAAGAAAATTGTTAGTCAATGCTTAGGACGCTAGGCGTAGACAGAATAGTGCACTTGGAATAGAGAAATATTTTACGGTTCCTATTGATGAATATTATCAAGTGATATCGATTGAACTACAATTTCTAATTACAGAAATAAAAGATGGAAAGGGAGTACAGTCAAAAAAGAACAAACAAGAATAATAGGGAATACACTTTGGTTAACAATACAACCAAGAAACCTCATGGGGGAGTTTCTCTTAGTTTTAAGTAGGAGGAAACTACAGAAGCACTTTAATAGGTGCTGTGTTGTAAAGAGATATGTAGACCAACAGCTTCCTTTCACACAGTGGGGAAATGTCATAAAGTAAAGTTCCTTCTGAATTTTTTACCCTATTCTAGTATCGGAAAGCAGTTTGATGTAGAAGTCTAGAGTGACATTCACAGAATACGTTTAAGCCACTGAAGTTGGTGTCCCGAGTTGATGACACTAACCAAACTATCTTTACTAACCCTGAACACACACTGCTGAAGCTCAGTATTACTAACTTGATGTTACCACTGAAAGTCAGTAATCCTTAAGAGATAAAGATAATCGAACACAGAGAGTTGCCTAACATCAAAGTCTGGAGAACAAGTTTCACAGACACAGAACAAAACTGCTCTCATCGAGGCGTTGTAAACCCAAGGTTTTGTAACCAGACTAACATTACGACGGCGCCAAAGATGGCCCAGACTGCCATAGGCTGCTCTAGTTTTCAATATTCATAGACTGGTTTTATCTGTCATCCCACCAGCACTAACTCAAATAAAAGAGCTTTTCGTTTATTTATAACAGCTCACCACAACGAATCCAGATAAAGGCTCCCACCAGTCTTGGAGAATTACTCTGTATTTAGGAGGATAGTGCATGTCATACCTAAAGACAATAATTGACAGATGGTTAAAAAAGTAATTAATTAGACATGTCACTATGAATGTCGATACGGTATTAGGAAATGATGAAGCGATCAGGTAAGCAATATTAAACCTAGATATTTCTTATCGAAGATGACAAGCCAGTGAAAGACGTTTTGAACTAGCATCAACCGAAGTGTTGGATGGGACATGTGCCAAACCACTCTCCCAAAGCGATATGCTAACGGTCAGAAATAAAAACAAAAGGAGGTCAGTTCGTACCGAGGGTTTGGTGTATACAGTCATAAGTTCCTGGTTCCCAATGTCTAGTGCCGGAGAATAGATGGATACCTTAAGTAATACAGCTCTAAGCAAATGCAAACGTCACAAATGAATTTGAGAAATTTACCTCGGAATAAGTTCTTTATTTCCCCTCAATTCTAAAGACTTTATTACTTAGACTTAGTTTCTTTTTATCGGTTTATTACTTGTTTTTTCAGCGTTCTGAAACGTAGGAGTGTAAACCAATGGTCTTCTGTGCAAGCCTCGGTTGATTTATTTGTTAGTCTAGGAGAGGTTGCTTTTTATTATCTGAAAAAATTCAAACAGCCCTTTGCAACGTAGCAAACACTTGTCGATTTGTTTGCAGATAAGAAAAAGCTAATCTGTTACTGAAATGTAAAATATGGTAGTAACATTTTTGGATGTAGAAATAGGTGTTTAAACTGTGAAACTGTCGAAGTACAGAGAGATGGTTGTAACACAAAGCAGTGGACTTGTTCGGTAAATTATACGAAACTTATGATTAACTTACATTATTAACAATTTCATAAGAAAAGTTCTCTGTAACAGGAAAACCGGATAGGGAGGCATGAGCGGCATGTGATAAGTAACTTTTTTCATCCACAGTAGGCTTTTTTTCATCAACACCGAATACGGATGTTTTCAAATCTTCCCTTTCTGGTCTCGATTTCATCCAGATATGTGGCGGAATATAACCTGGTGGCTGGCTGAAACCACTGCTTCTTGAGTTCCTACCAAACTGATAACTTCTTGATATTTTAGTTAGGGTATGACGTGATGAATGTAAAGTAATTTTATGCTGACTCAGAATTATCCTATTCATTTCTGTGATAGTATAAGTTTTGTGTTATTTGTCAGTGGACTTAATATCAGCTAAAATGTACCGAAACAAGTAGTTGTGAATACAAAAAGCAAAATTTTTTCAATATAATAACGAATACATATATTACTTAAAATCAATGAAATCAAAAAGGAACTTGTAGTATGCAGTAACTCTACCTAGGAATTTTGAAATTTCTCGTCAATGACAATATTTTTATTACGTTCAGAAACGAAAAGATTTAAGCATTTAATTTATTATCAGTCATGTAACGGGATATATTCAATAAAGACTTTGTGGTAAACATCATAGTCGGAACGAACAGACTTTGGACAAATGCGATACGTTAGGTCAAAAGGTTACATCGGGACATTTTTTGGTAATGTAACTTAGCTGTCTAATTATTATAAATCCACCTGCAGTTATCCTAGACCCCCAAATGTCCTGGTACGCCCGAGAGTGGGGAGAGTCAGATCTCCTCGAAATGCTATCACATGGCCACGTGCATACAATCACTGCCAGAGAAGTCCTACTTACTGCCATCTCACGGTGAGGGTGCTGTTTACGAAATTGAGAGGACGAAAAGCGAATGTCCGGAGCTCTAACTGGGCCGGTGGACACGGAGAATCCACCTAGGGGAGTCGGAAAACTCTATTTCTAAACCAATGGTGCACATAGGCCCCACGGTGTTAAGGCAACAAATGGCGTATGAAACAATAGTTGGTTACCGGCTACCATGGGACTGCATCTGCTGACTTCGCTTCACTGTCTTGTGGATCAGACTTTTGGGCCAAATGCTCCGGGTGTGGCCCCGTAAGAAAACCGCCTGCTTCGGTTTGGGAACACGGGCAGTATCCCAGCCCTCACACAAATCGAATGAATTATATGGCGCATATGTATTTGGTGCCTCCATGTACCAATGTTTGTGTTTAAATAAATTAATAATATCCCAGGATTACTGCAGTCCTCAAGCCCGATTAAGGAAATGTGCACCATTCCTACGGGTAAAGAACATCTGGAACTAAAAACAACTATCAGCCAACATCAAAGTCAGAATCTTCAATACAAATGTCAAGACAGTTTTGCTGTACGGGGCTGAAACTTGTATAGCAACTACACAACCATCATCAAGATGGTACAGGTACTTACAAATAGTTGTCTATGCAAGATACACCAGATCAGGCCCCCAAATGCCCTGGTATGGCCGAGAGCGAGGTGGGTTCGCCCTGCCTCTCGAAATACTCTCACGCGGCCGCGCGTATACAGCCTCTGCTAGGGAAGTCCTACTCACTGTATTCTCGTGGCGGGGGTGTTGTTTACGAAAACGAGAGGACGAAAAGCGAATGTCCGGCGCTTTAACCGGATTTCAAATCTATGGTGCACATGGGCCCCAGTATCCTGCGGGAACAAATGGCGTATGAACCAATTTTCGGTCACCAGCTACCATGGGACTACATCTCCTTACGATGCTCCACTGCCTTGTGGGTTAGACTTTTAGGTCAAAGGCTCGAGGTGTGGCCCCCTAAGATAACCACCTGCTTCGGTCTGGGCACCCGGGCAGTATCGCAGCCCACACGCAATTAATGAACTGAAATTGTGTGGTGCATATATATTTGGCGCACTCCTATACCGATATATATGTGTTCAAATAATAATAATAATAATAATAATAATAATAATAATAATAATACACCAGATCTGTTGGCCAGACACCATGAGTATTCTGGTACAGAAGAAACCAGTTTATAGCTGAGAAAGTCAGTCAGTCAGTCAGTAACAACGTAGAACATCGTACGTACGTACATCAGTTCGAGTTGCCACACCACATTAGCACAGAGATGCAGTGGTCGATTCAAATCCCGTAGTGGTAGAGGTAGCAAGAGTATAAGCAGTAATCGGGAAGATTAGGGTTTGGAGATGTTATTTAAAGAGTATAATCCAGTGAAAGAAATTTGCAAAGAGGGAAAAAGGGACATGAAGAATTCAGAAGATTAGAGTTTGGGAGAACACAGAGAGTGGATGCACCTGCGCCATTGCGAACGATTTTGAGCCATGTCATTCAGGGTCTCTAACCATCGGTTGCTGTCATCTCGCGGTCCCCAACCAGGTAGTCTACACCTACCAACATGACTCAGTTCACTTGTCAGTGACTTCATGGACTTGAGCCATGTTTTGGTTTGGCCGCCCCTAGCTTTCTTCCAACCTACTCCTATACCACTGAACATAGCACGTCGAGGCAGTCGGTCGTTGGCCATACGTAACACGTGTCCCAGCCATCTCAACTGATGAAGTTTCACTACGTCATCAATTGATTTGCCATCTTTACCTAGTACCCGTTTCCTAACAACTGTGTTACTTACTCGATGGTCCCATGATATACGAGCAATGTTTCGAAGACACCTATGATCGAATACTAGTAACCTACGGATATCCTCTACTCTTAACGGCCATGTTTCACTGCCATAAAGAAGGACGGAACGAACTGCTGCGCAGTAAACACGTCCTTTGGTTGATAGACGGATATCTCGCCTACGCCATAAATGACGCAAGTTAGCAAAAGCTAGTCGAGCCTTCTGTATCCGTGCTGAGATTTCGTCACACACCAGACCACAAGGGCTGATGAGACTTCCAAGATAAGTGAAGCGGTCGACACACTCAACTACTTCACTCCCTATCACTAGTTCGGGTGTCGATGTAACCCAATCCTGAAGCAACATTTTGCATTTCGAGGGAGAGAATCGCATCCCGAACATGCTTGCATTGTTGCTTAGAGTGGTCAGAAGACTCTGCATTTTGTCAGCGTCTTCACCAAATAAAACTATGTCATCTGCATATTCTAAGTCAACAAGTGAACCTCCTGGTAGAAGTTCAACCCCTGTAAATTTAGATGAGGAGAGTGTTATCTCTAAAAGTACGTCAATGACAAAGTTGAACAAGAATGGGGAGAGTGGACAGCCCTGACGAACACCACTTGAGGTGATCAATTCTGATGACAGTTCACCATAAGCTCTCACTCTACCAGTTGTGTTCGAGTAGAGAGCCTTTATAAGGTTAATGTACTTCTTTGGTACTCCTTTCAGTGACAAACACTGCCATAGAACCTCACGATCAACGGAGTCGAATGCCGCCCTAAGGTCGAGAAATACTACCATTGAGGGGCGTCTGAATGTGTGTCTGTGTTCTAGAACCTGACGTAGTGTGAATATCTGATCTATACAACCACGTCCAGGTCGAAAACCGGCCTGGTTTTCTCTAGTCTGCTCTTCACGAGCTTTAGTTAGGCGTCGAAGTATGATTGAGGCTAATATTTTAGATACTATATTTGTCAAACTGATTCCTCTGTGATTGTCACAAGAGGACTTTTGTCCTTTCTTAAAAACTGGCACAATCAGTGATTGAGACCAGTCAGATGGGATTACGTCCAGTTCCCAAATTCTACCTAAGACCTCAGTTAATCTTGCTGCTAATACTGGACCACCATCCTTAAAAATCTCAGGAGTAAACCTGTCAGGGCCTGCTGCTCTCCCTCGCTTCAGATTTCCTATGGCTTTTTCAACTTCGTAAAGGGACGGAGGACTTACATTAACTTGCCATTCAGGTTGACTGGAGATCGTGGGAAACCGAAGTGTGGCTGAAGGCCAGTTGAACTGATCCCTAAAGTGTTCTGCCCATCGATCCAATCTCCTGGATTGAGAATGAATAATATGTCCATCTTTCTCTGAGATTGTTTCGCTAACGGTCGGGTTCCTAATTCCGGTTTCCTTAACGAGTCTAAACAATTGTCTGCTATTACCTATTGCCGCTGCCTTTTCCATCTCTCTTGCTTTCGCTACCCACCACTGTTCGCGATCATTGCGTAGACTTCTTGTCAGCTTGCGCTTAAGCTGACTCCGCTCTTCATTATGTTCAGAGCCAGGTGGAAGGAGTTTTCGAGCATCTATCAGTGCGATAGATGCTGCTGAGATCCAGTGTTGCTCCCTAACTTTACGGTTTACCTTACTAGCAGATATCATTGCTGTTTCCACAGCTTTTCGGATATCGTTCCATGCTGCCTCGGAATGGGCATCACATACATGGCTGAGAAAGGAATTAGAAAAAGATGCTGAAGGCGGATAGATCACACTAAGGACATCACCAAACTGCATCACAAGTCAAGCTGTAACTTAGAATCTTCAAGGTAAATGGGAAAGATGCAGATACCAGAAGAATGAGCAGAAACTAGGAAATCAAAAGGACTGCCCAGGACAGAGTTCGATAGAGAATCCTGGTGGGTGCCCTATGCTCCTCCACCAAAGATGATAGGTGTAAGTCTGTTTAATATAGCTGTTTAGGTATCCTGTTCAAATTTACAACGAATATATGGCATTATGTAACGACCAACTCATACGCTTGGAGAAGTGTAGAGATTTCCTGGTCTTCAAACGTGCTCTTTTTCTATAAATTTGTGGTAACATTATGCAAACGTCAATTAATATTACTCATACGCAAGTTTTACATTCAGAAAAAGGCGCATTCTGTGATAGGAGTCGGAATTAGACATTTGAAATGACATGACTATGAATCAGAGGATCACAGATTAATGGTACTAGTTTCGTCCTAAGACTTATTCAAGAGAAGCATATACGTACAAAAATGTGACGTTTTCTTCATAACTATGTGATTTATCAGGTTAAAATGATAGGACCACAATAAGGAAACAAAAGTAAGTGGCTGCAAAATTAAAGCCAGATAATGTCTAGGGAACAAGTTCTCAGGACTGAATTTATTAGTGAATGAAATGAATATAACCTTAGACCTGATTTTTCCAGGGTGACAAATGCTTTTGAGATTTGAAACGAAACCCACATCCCTACAAAGTGTTCCTTAATGCTAATTCCTAACCATAGCTGCTGGCCCATTGAAAGTGGCTGAATTTTGTTCATTCCATAAAATGGTACTACGAATCAGCTCTTTCCCTTGTAAGTACGCCGCCAATACATCATTGCAAACAACTGTTATGTTCAGTCCTTGATAGGTTTTTGACTAGTCTGAGGGTACATATTGAAATTGGGGAGTGTGAGGAGCAGTATGAGAATCTGGATGAGAGGACGTGAAGAAAAGTAGTCCAAAAAGACTCAGTAGGTACATAGAATGCATTTATGTCTAGTAATGGAAGCAATCAAAAACAACTAAAAATGATAATTAGACAATCTGATAATCAAAAGTAGAAGTTGGTAGCGTGAACTGCACCCTGACTTCTCGAAACCCCCTCCCCACAACTCTGTTACAGCTTCAAATGACAAACTATGTTTAGTTGAGTTAGTGTACCATTTGTTACTCGGGATCTGAGTCTGAATAGTAAGAGAGCATTTCTGGTTATAGAAACGTACCGCTTATGCTATGCTCAGTTTCAAGCTGAAGGGTAACACAAGTCAGTAAGTTGTAGCAGAAGTAATCATAAAGTAACATTTGAGTCCATTAACTTCAGGGCCTACAGAGTTCAAGTAAACATCGAGCTCTTTTGAAAGGCTCTGAAGGATGTGTCTTTACCATTGTCTTTGGTAATGAGCCCATATCTTTGTTATTTTGACCAAGAGAAAGTTTGCACGAACTTTTGTGAGAAATCCGTAACGGTAAATAAGTCCGCAAAACAAAAAATTCTGACAGTCTTTGACATTGATGTGACCGCATTAGTTTTATTGAAGCCACCTAGCTCAAGACGCTCGTTCGTGCATCCGTACTAGATTACGAGTGGGTACGTCGTTCTTAACTTCTCGTACAACCGTTAGCCAGCTTAGATCAGTCACTTCTCGATATATCGATTTTCTATCAAATATGTTTTCTAACCTCTTCACTTCGGACTTCTGATTTCCCGGAGTTTGCACGTTTTCATTACAAAAGTCGTTACTGGTTACGGTGTTTTCAAACTCCGAATACTAGCGTCAACTTCAGTGGTGAGCCTGACGTGATCTGGTACACCTATTAGTGAACTGTGAGTCTGTTCGTTTTTAGAACCTTATGAAACAGTTTTAACTCTCATTTTGATATTTTTTGATACTTTTTTCATATTTGTGGCTTTTTTTCCTCGTCCACTTCTGTAATTTATATTCATTGTGACCGAACAGACTCCAAAGTCATTTAAGATCAGGCTTCTTACGCCACCCTCGTTTCAGCCAATGCCATACTTGCACGACAACATCAAAGCCTGGTTCTACTACGCGGAAGCTGACTTACACGGGCCCGACATGACTGGTCCACGTGAACATTTCCTCTCAGTAATGAAAGCACTTTCGTGCGAACTCAACAGGTAGGTCACATCTAGTATGTTTACCAGTGGTTTCGGAGCCTTACGAAATCCCGAAAAGGTCTATTCTTGAACGCGGCGGTCTAACCGACCGAAAAAGTTTCGATCAACCCTTAAGTAGCACTGATCTACGACTTGGCTCACCAACGGACATATTGTTACGAATGAAGGAGGCCACTGGTCAGCGGACATTCGACGATGGCCTGTTTAGACAACTTTTCTTGTCTAAACTTCCCTAACAGGTGCAGACAATTCTTGTCTCACTTCAAAACAACGCTGTAGACGAGCTGGCTGCATCTGCCGGTCGGACTCTGAAGATCACCAGGACTTCTAACGTCGATGTATTTCAGTCGAAGTAAAACCTCAAACGACATCAAGTGACGTTAAGTAACTCTGTCATACTCTGACATGTTACCTTAGTATTCGTCATGACCGTAAACGATCCCAAACTCCTCCAAGCAGTATTTCACGAAAATGATCTATCTTTAGATCACGAGAGGTAAATGACCCTGAGTAGTGCTGGTATCATGATCAGCACGGAACATCTCGAAGTTCCAGAACGCCCTGCAGTTTCTCATCCTGCACGCGTTAAGAGCGACCGTAGCCAGCGAACATAGCCACCTGTTATGCATTACTGATGAGATGAGGAAAGTTAACTACCTTGTCGACCTCGATGCAGAAGTAAGCGTTCTTCTTGAGAATTCTAACCACCGATCGCATGAAGCAGTTTTCAACTTACAGACCAAAAGTGGGAAACCAAGTGACATGTACGGTAAGCGATACGTGCATCTGAACGTGTGTCTACTCAAACCCATCCGCTGGATCTTCGTTGTTGCAGATGTTTCTATGCTAATCTCTTATACAGACCTGCTACAATTCATCGATACGCACAAACGGAGGTTAGTAGATATAAATGCTAAGCTTGATGTTTCTATAATTTCTTTTTGCGCTTGTGGATTATCCCCAGTCACAGTAAAACACACGACCCATCCATACCATTAATAGATACTTAACAAGTACCCTGAGATATACCATGCGCAACCAAAATTGCCTTGTGTGATCAGCAACGTTACACATTACACCACGACTACAGGGCCAACTAGCTCCCGAAAAGCTGAGGTTGGCTAAAAACGAGTTCGACCACATGATAGATTCGGTCATCAAAGAGCATTTGGGTATCTCCCTTGCTCATGGTTACTAAAAAGGATGGCAACGACTGCCGTCCAACTGATGACTATCGGTGATTGAATGTGAAAACTATCCCTGATCGTTACCCGTTGCCTCACATCCACCATTCAATATCTGCCTTGAAAGGTACAACAGTTTTATCGAAAATCGGCTTGATTAAAACACATAACCAAGTTCCCATGTCTGCTGACGGCATTCCTAAAACCACTATCATCACACCTATCGAATTCTACGGGAGTGGGGAGGGCCCTCCATCCCTCTCGAAATGCTTTCACAAGGCTAAGCGTACACGGCCTCTGCCAGGGTAGTCCTACTCACTGCATTCTCGTGGCGGGGGTGTTGGTTACGAATTTGAGAGGACGAAAGGTGAATGTCTGGCGCTTTAACCGGATCCCAAACCAATGGTGCACATGGGCACCAGTATCCAGCGGGAACAAATGGCATATGAACCAATCGGTCACTGGCTACCATAGGACTGCATCTCCATACGGCGCTCCACTGCCCTGTGCGTCAGACCTTTAGGTGGGAGGCTCCGGGTGCGGCCCCCTAAGAAAACCACCTGCTTCGGTATGGGCACCCAAGCAGTATCACCTCCCACACACAAATAAAATGAAATGACGATATTTACTGAAAATACTATTCTCGCTTCGATTAACAGTCAAATAATTCACATTATTATTATTTACTACGCCACTTGTTCACTCTCTTTTATTCCCACTTTGCCCATCCTTATTTTTCAACCTATACAGCAGCTCGTTTATGGTGGAAACTCGGTTTTATCTAAACGATCACGAGTCACTGACTGGGTGAAAATTGAATGCTACCACCAAATACGAATACTGAAACAGCTTTTCTAGACCACCATTCAAACTGGCTTACTTCAACGTTGGCACACTAATGCAGATCGGAAAAAAGATAGGGCTGGCAATGCTATGTCTTTGGAAAGTCTTAATATCGACGTTTGTTGTCTATCCGAGGCCCTTATTCAAGACTCTGGTGGAGTACTACAAATTCGCTCTCAATCCATCTCTTCAAAAGGCTTGTTTAACGTGCGCTTATCCGGGGACCCTGTGGCATCTTCGTCTGGTCTTGCTGGAGTTGGTGTCTCACTAAGCACTAGAGCTAAGGCAGCACTAATCGATTGGATCCCCATTAAGAGTCGGCTATGTGCTGTTAGATTAGAGAGTTCCATCAAAGTGACAAGAAATCGTCGTGAGAAACGATGTCTCTTCGTCATCTCCGCCTATGCCCCGACAGACTGCAGCCCGAATGCAATAAATGATGAGTTTTACCACCAGTTATCTGTTCTTCTCCAGAAAGTGCGTTCGACAGATATTGTAGTACTTGCCGGATACTTGAATGCTCAGGTCGGGCGTCTAGGCACAGAAGAGAGTCGTTTAGGTGGCCGATGGGGACTCGTTGGTCGCAGGTCAGATAACGGGGACCGTCTACTGCAACTGTGCACAGACCACAACCTGTTTCTGGCTAGCACTAACTTTCGGCACAGTCATCGCCGATGTGCCACCTGGCGTCCTCCCTCTGCATCTCAAGCCTGGACTTAGATTGATCATATCGCGATCAGCTACCGCTGGCGTGGTTGCGTACAAGACTGCCGCTTCTTTCGAAGTACCTATCTAGACTCTGATCATGCCCTGGTTTGTGCCAATCTGACCTTACTTTTCAGTGGCCAGAGGGGTGATCGTCACCAAAGGATTGATGTCAGCAAATCGGTTGCAACTTCTGTTTCTAATAAGTATCGAACCGAGCTAGCTTTTAGACTGGCTACCATTCCACCAAAAAGTATAGATGAGCATTGGTCGCAACTGCATGACGCTATGAAAATAGCGAGTGAAGCCGCTTTCGGCTGCGCGAAACGTCCCGCTTATAAGCTTTGGGTTTCTTCTGGTTCCTTACTACTCATTGAAGCCCGTCGGTCTACTCCGGATGACCGTGATTTTGACCATAAACGAAGGCTGTTACGTAATGAAGTTGGGCAAAGCTTGTGTAAGGAACGAGAAGCCTGGTGGTCGGAGTGTGCTAATCAGACAGAAGCAGTAGCTGCATCTGGTAACTCCGGAAGCTCTTCCAACTCATCCGAGCCACTGGCAGCAAGAAGTCTGGTTTGGGTGAAACAATCTGCGAGGATGATGGGATGCCAATCACTAACATCCATCGACGTATTGGACGATGGGCAGAATTTTTTGAAGGGCAGTTCAACTGGCCTGCTGCTCCGGCAACAACGGTCAGACTGTCCTGCCCTCCATGGCCGGTGACGACTGAGCCACCAAACGAGGAGGAAGTCCACAAGGAACTCCAACTCTTGAAACGTTGCAAATCATCTAGCCCAGATGACTTACCTGCGGCTCTTTTTAAAGATGGTGGTGACTTTTTGACTAAGGAATTGACGACGTTGTTTACAAAGGTTCGGGAACTAGAGAGTGTACTAACGTCATGGAATGAGTCGATAGTTATCCCTATCTTTAAAAAGGGTTCACGTCGTTCCTGTAACAACTATCGGGGGATATGTCTACTTCCGATTGCGTCCAAGCTATTGGCTTCCGTCATACTTCGTAGGTTGTTCAAAACCCGAGAAAGAATGACTCGCGAGGAGCAGGCTGGGTTTCGTTCTGGTCGAGGATGTATTTATCATATCTTCACCCTCCGCCAAATGTTAGAACACCGCCATACTTATCAAAGGCCAACAATCGTAGTGTTTCTTGACATCAGGGCTGCCTTCGATTCGTTGGACAGGACTGTTCTCTGGGATTGTCTATTGAAGAAG